AAATACAAAAAAACCTCAAAAATGTGCAATTTATTTTGAATTAGAAATTCATAAAAATGTATTCTCTTAAATCTAAGATTTTAAAATTCAATACAAGATTCTAATGAGTTTTCCTACTTCTATCAAATAAAAAATGTCTACTTTTCAAGTCAAATTAAATTTTTATGAGCATTTGAATTACAACATTGGATATTCGCTAATTTTTCTTGTACTTACCTATATTCTTATGTTTTTGTTATTCRAAAACGAATATCTTGAAAATGAACTAAATAAACTTGAAATGTACTCTATATGTTTATTTTATCAATTTTATATTTGATAAAATTTTCAAAATATTTTAACAATTTTTAAGTTATTTATCTATATATTTTATGAAATTTTCCGTTTTTTGATTTTTTATTCCATARTAAAAATTCGAATTTTTCATATGCTTATAAATATCTTAAAAAGGTTTCGAAAATGKTATGATGCGTGGAAATTGCTTGTATAAACATTCAGTGAACATTTCATCTATATGCAGTTCTTTTTAGTTTTCGAGTTACACTAATAACAAACACAATCGAATTTTTCGAAAATTGGTTTTGTGCAGTAAAAATCTCAGTTTTTCATTAATTTTTGTTTGTTTTCCTTACCACTTTTGTAAACTATTATGGATATTTAAAATTTTTACCTCTTGAATGCAGATTGCACCAACTAGATTCACTTTTCTATAGTAAAAGAAAATATGCTTTTGAAGAAATTCGAATCATTTTTACTGCCCCAAAAAGGGATGACAAACATACAAAAAACAAATCATCATTGTAAAATCAACACATATCACTCCACTTAGAATCTAAAATTATTTTGAAATTTTTTGATCATAACTTTTACAGAAAATTTTAAATTTTTTTTGAAATTACTATTATATAAAGAACGTTAAAATACGTTTTAAAAAAAATATTCTCAAACATCGCTTCGAAGCTAGACTGAATTCATCCCAGAACCCAGAATTAATTATAAATACTATGTAGCACTTAGTAGCAGTATCGATTATCACCTAATTTATTATTTATATGTATATGAAATATTATATGATAGTAAGTTTTATTGTGGGTAGTCAAGGTACGCACTTGACTACTCTGCGAGTAGTTTAATGTTTTCAAATTATATAAAGAAATTATTTTCAAAACCGTTAATAGWAAACATAAACAAGCTTTTTTCAGTATCATTTTAGAAATAATGAGTGTACTACGTGAAATCATCGACATATTATGGTATATTGGTATGTACACAATTATTTAATAAAAAAATATAAAAATTATTGGTAATTTACAATTTTGATCATAAACAACCTATTGGCTAGTATAGTTAGATATACTTGGATTTCGAAAACAACCGTTTTGTTTGACAATTAATAATAATAAATAATGTTCTCGTTGGTAGTAAAATAAAATAATATAAATAAGTATATTGAATAATTTATGTCCGTTATTTTTGTACTTTCATATTTCTGTCTAATTTRATAAGTTTCTGACATTTCCGTGCAGCAACCGATTTACGGTAAATAAATTAGAGATAATAAATCTTAGTTTAATATATTATTTCACATTCGTTGAATTGAACAATCAACCAGGGTCCACAACCACAAGTCCACAACCCACTGGATCCAGCGGCCAGTGAGRCAGACGGCAGTGACCAGTGACGGCKTGACGCTATCATCGGTTATCACTTATCAGTCGTTTTCAAAGTTCCACAATCATAGCATTTTTCAGTGGTTCTCAGCTACATGTTCGATGTGTGGCGTTGAGAATTAATAATCGAAATAGCAAGAAATAATCTGGTAAATAAATGTACCTATAGTTTTTAGTTTCTGATAATCATCAATTATAMATTTCTGTCTCAACGTTTTTAATTTTAATTCCATGACAATTGCAGTACAAACGATTTATTTTTATATCCATTTTCGGATTTGAAAACATCAAATTTAATCGAGTTTTTCGATAGTTACCACTTACCACCATAGAGGTTGGCCGGTCTGGTGGCACCGATTTTCCCCCCGTTCACATGACAAACAAGCTTGCAGTGGCTAGTGACTGCATCGTGCGTATTGTTAAAAATTTCGTATGCAATATGGCTGTGTAAAACGTCAAATCTTATAACCCATTTTATATCAATTTTTTTTTTATTAAAAACACGAATTGCTTCTTTTTTTTATTTTCTAAACTTTTTGTGTTATCGTCTATATAGTGTTAGTATTAGTTGTCGTATTATTTAAAATAGTTAATTTTTTATCGCAATTTTGTATATTTTATATACATAATTTGTGCCCATCCCAATTTGGCACTGGCTGCCAACCGTATATATTCATTATTTGATTTTTTATCCATCCTAATCGCGTTTCGTACGCTTCGTATTTATTTGTGATGATTATTTCCCGATCGGTTCGTCCRTCGACGAATCACGACTGATACGATATGTTGGCCAGGTTAATATCGTCAACTACCGGAATACCGAGGTTCGGCGCTAACGTAGCATCGCACAAACGATCACAGTGAGCATGAACAATCGAGGGCAAAACCCAAGTCATCAAAGGAAAACCTACGAAGGGATGTATTCAAGTTAGTAATATTTAACATCAAAGAATTAATTTTTCAACACCCTTGACCAATAATAATAACGCCTAAAAATTTATTTGAGTTCGAACTAAATTGACCAATTGTAGATGTTAAAATATTTGAAATGAAGGTAAATAGATAGGTAGAACTCAATTTTAATGTTATCACAATATTTATCTTCGTTTTCTGGATTGACTTCGGAAAATAGATAAAATTACCATGCAATATTAGTAGTTGCAGCCTAAATTCCACTAAAATTAATATATTTAATTTAAAATATTCAGTAACAGTAGAATGTCAAGATCAAGTTGTTGGCATTTTTGTATATTGTTATTAAGATGCCAAATGTTATCTTAGAACTTCACAGATTGTGTTAATGATATAAAATGCCTACAAAGCATTTAAATTTTAATTGTATCTTAATTCTCAATAATTGTCTCCCCGATCTATAGTGATGCAGTCTTAATCAATGTTTTCTATTAAACAGTTGTTGTCATTTAATAGTTTTAGCTTTATATTGTGTTGTTAAATTTGCATAGGTATGTACTTACTTACCTACTTTTTATTTATGAATGATTAAATGTAAACTATTTGATTTTTAAATGAAACACTCAAATGATTCATATTTTTATTAGCTGATTGTAATGCAATCGATTTACCAAATTATTGTTATACGCACATTCCAAAACMACAGCATAATACTATATTTTATTACTAAATTTATTCTATATAACTTGAAAATACTTTGTATTTGTAGTTGCTTAACATTGCATTTATATTGGTTTATTACATTTTTTTTTTTTGTCACTACAATGAATATTGAATTTTTGYCTTCTTTGGGTAGCTTATTAGCATTATTAAGTTGATTTGTTATCAACACTTGGATAAATAATACATTTAAAATATGTATATAAACTTATTTAATTTGGGTTTTAATTAAAAAGTACTAAATATATGCCGGTTCTTACGATGTTAGGTTAAAGTTAACCGACACTTAACCAGCAGGAATCTGCTGGTAAAAATCCCACTAACCGTCAGTTAACTGTTAACAGACTTTGTAAGAACCAGCCCTAGAATTAAATTAATAGGTTAGATTATCTATGATTTTATTTGGTTACATCAGTTAATAGTTAGGTATGGATATAAATTATTTCCCAGTTTATCTTATAAGATCATTAACTGCAGTTTATATTATGATCTACTTAGTTCCACTCTTCCACTTATTCAATTTAAATATTATAAAAATAAATCTTAGTTCATTATTTTGATTACCTATAGGTACATACTGTCAATTTTGTATTTGATACTAAAATTAAAATAAACAAATACTTAACATAGGTACTGTTCAATATAAAATATAATTTATTGCATTACCTTCATAAAATGCATGTTCAGACTCGGATTTTTTTTTAAGGTATTCAAAATTAATTTGAACTGGCTCTCATTCATTCAATTTTGATGTCATATTTTAAGTTACGAATTACATTTCTTTTATAAAATCAAGACTAAATTGTCCTACCCAAATATTATATCAAAAATAAAACTTAATATTTAAATAAATATATTTTTTACTGTGTATGTTAGTGGACAGGATTAAACATTTTAAAGCTCTTCTAAATGTATCACCTAGATTATAATAATCAAATCTATAAAATCCAAGAAAAAAATGCACTTAACCACCTGATGGATCTCAAGTTGGATGGGGGTTCCTAACCTAGTGTAAGGAAAGATAAATAATTTAATATAAAAAATATAAATAATTTAACTTATCAAACTACCTCAGAAACAATATAAWTAATAACTATAATAGACTAATTACCTTGCCTTTTATTCCTACAAAAAAATGTGGTTATTGTTTGTATTTCATCCCTTCAGTTTGTATTAGATACATAAAACCTCTATTATTATTTTGTACAAATCATGTAGAAAATCTTGATTTCATTATTTTGTTTGGTGAATTATATTATATAATATGTATGTGACTTCACAACTCTGTAAAAGTTTTGGCTACCACCGTCACTGATCTCCAATAATCACGATACTGTATTCTTTTCTTCCAATCGGTTACTTAWAACCTCTCTAGATCTTGTTGCTTTCCATCTATCCATTGTTTCTTGGGTTTGTCTCTGGATTTCATGCCTATTGGCTTATATTAAACTGCTGCTTAGCTTGTTTCCTCTCGTCTCATTGTATGTCTAAACCATTAGATTCTTGGATATATATGTCTATAATTTATTAAAAACAATAGTTTGTCCAGTATCCCTGTATTTGTGATGATGAGAAACTGGAAGAATTATTGTTTATCTGTATCATTTTTATTATATATTATATTTAATAAAAATTATATTTAGTATATATTATTTACTTGATTATTTACTTATGGTTTGGAAACGTTAGGAAGCCACTATACTTCTGTCAGGGTATAGACACTGTGTGTATTGGCGACAACATCTGGTAACTGTGGCCTTGAAGACAGTCTCTAGAAAAGTGTTGCATATATTATCACTTAAATAAATCATTATGATTTAATCATATCATTATCCTCAGACAGAGCAATAAACTAATGTTAATTAACAATATTATAGTTAATTAGGGCCAGTTGTACAGCTAAACTTAAACTTTGATTATGCTTAATCAGCTGATAACCGATATTTAACCAGTCAAATTCGGCCGATTAATATCCGGTTAACTTAAATCGGAGATGGTAGAACTGGCCCTTAGTTTTTAATTCATATCTAAATGAATACTTATTCATTTTACCAAGATTTAATATTAATGTACCTACCTATTTAAAATATAAAAATAAATTTATTATAAATAATAACTCTTATTGTTATGTGCTCGAATGAAACAATATTGTTATAGATTAGAATAAAATACTTGTTTTTAGGAACAAACCCTTTAAAAATATAGTAACAATATATTTTCTTTATTTAACATTCAATAACATTCAATCACAATCGCTAAAGAAAAATGAAAAATAATGTATTACATAAATAAAAATGTATACAATAAGGGCTATATATATATA